TAACCAGCATAGAATCAACTCTGAGTCATTATTAGACCTCTGTATAGTAAAAATTTAAACAATAATGTTCGGTAGAACACTTCCGAAAGTTCAACTTTGCTTAATACTCATCCAGTTTTATTAGAGTAACAACATGAGCTTTAAATCATTTGGATTGTATCTAGCAGTGAAATTTGGCACTCACGTTGCGTCTTACTTGGCATTCGTCAGTTCAGTTCATAATTTAATTCTTTCAAATAGTGAATGAAGATTCACTCCACAAAAAGTGATATAAATCTATGGTCCTATAGGTAACCAATACAATATAAGGTCAGCTGGCCACACAAATGATCTTGACAATATAACTAGGTTTTTAAAAATATTTCCTCAGCTACCATTTGGATTACTACATCATTTCATTGGTTAGTATTTGTTATGTTCTTATGCCCTATAAACTATCACGTGACCAAATCGACAATTAGAACACCGACTTATATGACCTTGACGCTGTGCCAGGTCAATGGAGCGTTAACCAGTACGAACAGTCAACTCTGAATCCATATTGGTTCTTCTCGCCTAGCCCTGTCCGTTTGAGTCCAGAACACAATCTCAGTTTCCACTGTATGAATCATGTATTTCAGACATACGCAGTTTATACACGGTCAAATCAGACCACATCATTCCATAAAACAGAAAATAACAATTATACAAGATCAAGCCAAAAGTGTCTGTGAGTGCGAGAGACTGTAACCAATAGATTGAGAATAACTTAAGAATGGTAAGTCATATAATAGTAGTCAACAAGTCAAATGGAAGCTTATAACAAAAAAATATGAATATACATATGATACAGTTACTTAATAGTTGTATAATAAGAATACATATAATAAGTCTATAAATAATTCCTAGCAGTTACCGTTCGCTTATTCTTCGTTCGGATGTAACAGCTACAATTAAAGGTTTCGAGTTAAGGATTTAGGACTATGACATCCGAGTTACAATTCGGATCAAGACTAAGAGTTTCAAGTCAGAATTTCGGGATAGGATTGATTTTTATGCGCAATAAACAATCCACATAGAAAGAATTGAGCATTTAAATCACTTAACACTATCATCTTCGTTATGTGATAAAAACTAAGATAGAGCTATTATTTTAAACATCCGGAAAATTAAACAAACATAATTCTACTCCTCGTTTTATATGATATAAAATAAAGGTTATGCATATTTGAAATTAGCTCAAAAAAACCCAAAAGTTGTTTCCTGGGTTTGGATTAGCTCACTTTTATATCAGAATTTAACCGGTTATGGTTTATTATCACGAATTCTTAAAGTAACATGGCTGCGATCCCATTAAAACAATTCCTTTAAGGTAGTGAAAAATTCTTTTGTAGCGTCTGCTGTTCTCATCACATTTACATTATTGTCATAGCACCACTTATCAACTTCAGAATTTTTAATGCTATTATTTGAGATTTGATCATTCTCATATCCCTGTTCTCTTCAATTCTCATAAATTGAGTAGCCAGAATCTTCAACTCTTTCACTTTATTATTGACAACTATATCACTCTCAACTTTAATGAATCTGATAAGCCAGATTGAGGTCTAAATGTAGACCGAAACGTCCATCCTAGGTTTTCTGGTTTTCAAAATTGCTCAGCTGAAATCACTTTGTGGCAATAAAAACTGTAATCCCTATTATTCAACCAAATTTAGCTTTATAAGCAAAAGTTCATTTGTCCGTGAAATACACTTTGTACAAAACCTCATATAATTCTTGAAAACCATTAAACTATTCAGCTACAACGTAGGACCAGGGACATATATGCATCAGTTCAAGTTGACACACCTCATTAGCAAAAGATGAACACCAAATTTTTGAAAGCAGTTACTTCAATAGTAGTAAAAAAACATTTCATATCAGGATACAGGGAGGAAGAATTAGTTCGTAAGAATAAAGGTATTAAGTAATTTTGATTCCACAGTTTAAGGGGAGGCAAAGAGTGTATACACCCACGATTGATTCTGAGTCATGTCACCCAGTCTCCAACCATTATTTACGATAGTCGCACGAACCCCAACCAGTGAGACTATATGTTAGTGGAAATTTTGACTTATAAGAGTTGATACAATAGTGTTGTAATTCTTGGCTCTATAACGAAAAGAACTTAAACTCACTTCCTAAAACTTCATCTTTTTATGGTGTGATCCGTTCGAAATGTAGCAAAAAGATAACATAATAGATTCAGACACATATGTGAAGATATTACATCAAAATATCAAGTAAGAATTTCACATTAAAAATAAAACGCATATACAAATTATTTTTTCAAAATAAATTGGAAACACTCATCTATAAAAGAAATAATTACTAGTAAATGAGGCTTGTAAAGGTTGTTGAATTGAATTGAAAATTTAGCATTCTCCACAAATCCCTTACACAAATAATGATTATATGACCCGGTTAGAGAGGCGATCCCCGGAGTTCTAATGAGAAGCAATAGTCAATGGAGCTCAATCATGTCGTACATGAGACAGTCACCCACTAATCGCATTAAAAGATGGTTACACAATATCATTAGTTGATGTTAATTGTTAATTCAAGAGTAAGTCTGCTTTAGTCTAGGTCATAGATGCATATATTACGTCTTCACAAAGAACACCTGCAAAACCATTGTAGAACAACATTCCGTGTTTCAGTTCACTTGGTATTGTTTACTTGAATCTCCCCACTGATTTTTCGGACTGCAATCGACCAGTCTCTTATTGGCATATGTGCATACTGTGCGTATTGCCTCGATATTTGCCTTAATTCACAAGAATTATAAGCAAGGATGGATAGTGGGTAGCAGTGGGATCCAGGACGCGCGTTTCATCCTATTTTAAACTCGTCAGTTGGATGTACCTGCATTTCAGAGTTGATGTTGCTATCAGGACTCAGTAGCTAAGCGAGTAACGCGATGGCATTTGGAGTGAACGATACTGGGTTCGAACTCCAAGATGTAGGCACATCCGGCTGACGGGTCCCGAATAGGACGAAACGCGCGTCCTGGATCCCACCGCTAGCCAATATCCTTCTTTGCTTATATTCTGTGTTTTTTTTATCCTGGACAGTCTTCAGTTTGGGAGACATGATTTCGACAGAGAAAAAGGACGGGGATAAGAAACATATTAACAGCTTGAGGGCTTTAGAAAAATGGACTCTAAAAAGGATTTCTTAAAATACAACCCATTGTTGAAGTATTATAACTGCCTTGGTGAGACAAACCAGATCAACTAATCTATTAACTTAGGATATTATTAAACAAGCACAAATGTTCTCTTCCGTACATTCCAAATAATCATATTTATTTGACTTTCCTTACTTTACATATAAAATGTCTTAAGTAAATATATAATTTTTTTAGAAACAGTCGTTCTAGATGTAATGAACATATGCATCACATTTTTAGACCAGCCCCATCTACAGATTATGCTATCAGAACTCATAAAACGCAGTCATTTATAATCAACGTAGACATTCGCACATACCTGAATCGGTTTAAGTTACCATGTTACATTGGCACAGTAATAAAAAATTATTAAGACAAATGTCAAAATATTGGAGATAGCCACAGTACCAGTAGTAGTAGAAAAAAACAGACACAGATAAGCTCCCCCCCCCCAAGGTTTCCAATGGTAGCCTAACATTGATTGATTCATGACATCAACGAAACTCAACAATCACCACAAGTCTATACTCATACTAGATAATACGACCCGAGAATGAATTTATGGACTGAGAAAGACAGTCTTTTAAAGCTTAAGACCTAATGAAAAATAATGAGTGAATGCATATGGGCCATTGTGAATGATTAAGTGGTCAACCAACGGTAACGATAGTCGTGAGAACTACAACAAAGTAGCCTAAAGCTAACAAAACGACTGTGCAACTGTCAATTACTTCATAGATTGATGACACGTTCCGGTTGGGCCACTCCTAGTGTAAAAAATGAGAACACTGATGGGGACAATCAGATGTATTTAAACTCAAAATTACAGAATCCCTTGGCAAAATTTGAGAACCATACATTAAATCCTTCATTTGCAAAATGTTAATTGTCTCAGACTTGGCTGTTCATTCGTTCCCATACCAATCACTCTCCGTTCTCGTTGTCTTCCCATATATCTTTTAACCTTCAGCCGCCAGGCATTTCACTTTCGATTGACGATACATACTACTTATATATGTCGACGCCAGTAGCACACAACACATTAGGTTTCTTCCAATCAACTCTCATAGCAGCAGACATTAAATACTGAACGCGGTGATTGAGTATACGTAATACATATCCCCACCAACTCAATCGATGAGGACTTAACTTATCAACTTATTCGGTGTTTTTACCTATAACCACGTATCTAACTTCAGAAATGCTCAATTAGTAGTCATAACATACACAATCACCGTTCACAAGGGATATATAGACAAATACTAATAACCCACCTATATATTCTATTTTCATAGTTTAAGTGTAGATGTAGACCAGTCCAGAAGCAAAATCATCTTAAGAATCGTGAAATCACTGTGAATTTTGAAACTCCGATTACCCACTAGAATATTAATTTGCTAATCATAAACACAGCCAAGTTATTTTCCTTTACAAAAACGTGGTTTATCCCCGTGTGATCCAAGTTGTGTAATTATTAGGCAATTTCTACAGCATATAACGAGCATAAATGACAAAAACATAGAGGATCTTTAAACTCTGAACGAGTGAGTAGAAGAAACCCTTTTTAGAAAAACCTAATCACAACTTTACCAAGAAATTATGGTGTTTCTCCATTGTATCTTGTTTAATGAGTTTAAACATAAATCAGTAATATTTCTATGTTACTTTAAATAAAAAAAGTAGTTCAATCTAAATGTATAAAATAATTAATTCAAAATATCAATATTCCTTTTATAAACTCTTTTTTGTTCAAAACTGAGAAAAAAATACTGCTTTCATTAAGCTCCATGATTCAGCAAAAAAGACTTCACTTTTTCTAACGCTTTAGATCGATGTGATATGGAATTTTTTATAGATTTATCCATTTCAGCATAAGTTTGTTCAAAGTTATCCGGTTGAAATATGCAATCCCATCCAAAATCACGTGGTCCACGAGGTGAAACAATATAACCTGATGTGATACCAGTGAATAACTGTACTGGTTTTTCGAGGCTATCACAATAAGCAAAAGTGCATACAGCCTCTGCACGATAATCATTGAAGTCAATCAACATACGAGGTAGTCCTAAACAAGATATTTAAAATAAATGAACATAAAATTAGTGGAAATGGCAAGGTGAATTGAGTACATATTTATAATAAGTTAGAAATTAAATTCATATTTCTGTGGAAAGAAGTAATCGTATCTACTACAAGCAATGGTAAATAATGAACGAACAGGTAGGGGTGAATGTTAGCGGCCCCTGACTTAAGAGGCGGCCATCAATCTATAGAGTGATTGAGTGTTGGTCTGAACTATTTATTAAAATCTAGACTTTCTGACTATGGTACACACGATAATCGTAATTTATTACTAGTGACCTAAGGTGACATATAGCTTAGAATGGGCTGCAGTGCAGCAGATTCATTCATTTTCTTAACCTCTTCCAAATGTTGAGTTTTACTATGAGAAGTGCCTTAGACAATTAAACGACCAACCCTCTAGCCATTTGATTAGAAATTTGAAAATGAGTCCAAAAAGTACGGACTCAGTCACTTGATTTTGAGGGCTAGTGATATTGCTCGGCTGTTCAAGCCGAAGTGAAGGAAGTGATTGTTGGGGATGTTAGATCCCCAGAACTCACTTGATAAATGCCTTAATTTTGTAATTTTATTTTGGAAAATCAAATTTCCTTGTTTTCGCGCCAAAAGCACACTTTTCACCTTCATGTCGTATTTCCCACTTGGGAGAATCTTTAACGCTATTGGTCCGTTGTGTATTTTTAGTATGCAATTTTGCAACGATTCCCAAGGACAGTCTTATGCTGTACTTATACGTTTGATTTGTGTCTACTATTATTCACTCGTGCTTCTGGTTTACGGAATATACTTTTCCCGTTCCAAGCTTGGACTTCTTCCTCTAGTTGGCGGGGCTGGGACGCATCTAATAGCTAGCTTGTTGGTCTACGATCACAAGTCTTTGTTCCGTTCGCATACCAAGTGAACTCGTAATAGCTTCAAACCTAGCGAAATTTGGCGACAGGGATGGGATTCGAACCCTCGCGGGGAAACCCCAGTGGATTAGCAGTTATAACAGTGATGTCCCGACATTTGACTTAGAGGTCGAAGCTTCTTAACTATAATTGCATACACACATAAAAGATTTTCTATGTTAGCTTGTTTGAATATACGAATTAATAGTAAACACTATGTGAGTAATATTATATGAACAAACACGCAGCCATATTAAATATCACAAATATTCTTAATACTCTTTATGAAATACTTTGACCAGTACCGACGATATAAATGATCTGTATGGAGACGAATAATATGGTGACTCTATTATTATTATTATTAACGGCTTTATTCAATATTATATTTGTACCATGGATAGCTTATCTGTGGTTTAGAGGTTGTCCAATCAAACTCAAACCACTGAGTCGTAAGTTTGAAGCCAACTTTACCTACTTCGATATGAACAACTGGATAGTAGCATTAGCCCACAAAGGCAAAGTAAAACCCGATGGTTAGTATATAAACCTGTGTTTGACAAATGAGTTGCACTAATTTAAATTGACATTATTGGATAGTTTGTCTAACAATGTAGGTTTAAATATCGTAGAAAGGATGAACTGTTTAGAAGTTGTATACACACATTATTCGATGTGTAATTGTAATCAAGTATAAACAAACTTCAGGACCTCTTAGCGATTTACCATGAAATCCCAACACTATTAATGCAGACGGTAAACAACTGTAAAATAACTCATGAATTAAAAATAATACTTTGAGAAGACAAAACGACGATGGGATGCAATGTTAATATACTACTTAACAGATGATTATTTCCAAATCTGTACTCAAAGCCTACAGAATAGTGACTTACTGTCTGAATCAGTTGGCTTTCAACTAGTAGGTCTTACATGGTATGAAAAATAGCTACATAAGACTGGCATCTGTTGGTCCATCACGACTCCCTATCTGAGGACCTAATAGTGACGGCTAATGACTCAGAACAAAAGCCAAAGACCATCCTGATATGGTTTTCTATTACAGTGTTAATAAGGATAAACTGGACTCTAAAAGATGAGAAAAAATTCCGTTCTGGCTGTATCTCTAATTGTACGACCCTTTACTCTTTTATTTCCCCACAACACAACGATCTCATATTTTGATGTTCTATTGTACCGAAATTCATAAATCCTATTAACGAAAGTAAGCAGTCGATAGCATATTTGGACTTCGTTCCATATATTTCAATTAGCGTATATAGTGTGGCTCAGAGATGAGTACATAAATCTGTACTTGGCAAATCAGTCAAATATTTGATCAGTTTCCTTGGTCTAATAACCAGAGCATCTTAGCACCCATGAAAATCAACAACAAAGTACCACCATAAAAAATGCAGTATATACAGTTTGCAACCAATCACAAAAGAAAATTAAGTTTATTAACGAAAATGAAACAAAACAATTACCATCAGGACCAACCGCTTTTAAAAACCATTTAATGAAAGGTCCAGGCATTCCATTCAGTGCTTTAAAACAAAGTGCTGTATCTTCGATTAATACAGGTCCATTGATTATTTTAAAAGCAGATAAACATTTTTGTATACTCACTTCTTCGATACTACCTTGAACTTCAGGTAAATCTAGATCAACTGTTTTTACCTATTAAAAAATAATGATATTATCGTACTATGAAATAGCCCAAAATACTTTTCCAGTAAATTCCTCACCAATAATTTTAAGGAATTCAGTCAATTTGTTTGGATTACCAGTTACAAAATTTAACTGACGCGACATAAGTCTAAAACATAAAAATGAAATGCATAAACTAATATTTAATGGGTGGGATAATGAATTACTAAAAATATAAATAGAGAATACAATTTTACAACTATCAAAAGTTATTTGACTGAATTAGACCATACCATAGTTCTCATTCTTGACAATCCCATCATCCGATGAGGTCAAATATCTGATCGTAAGAGACTAAACTCCAAGTTAGTTGGAAAATCAAACTAAGTGCTTCACTTTAGCATAAATTAAAAGGTGACTTGTGATATAAAAGTTACGATTTTATCAAGTTAATGAGCACCAGAATATCAAGTAATAGGACTTTGAAGAAGAATAATTTGTAAACACTATGAGTGTAACAAGAAACTAGCTAACTAAAGTTTCAATCTAATACATTTGTATTTAAAGTTGGCCGAAAAAATTACTAGAGTTTAGTATTTTTTGAGATTGGACACATTTTCTAGTGGCAATAAACGAGGAAACCAAAGCACTTTATGACAATTCGGATGTATCATATGAACGATTCTACATTTGTCGAATACTATTATCAAGTAGATCATTATGTACACTGATCATCACGGCGAGGATATATTTACTGTATCCCGTTGAATAAAACTAAACAATAAATTGACTGATTCATTAGGTTCTTTGGTATGAGCCACTCTAAGTTTGAAGGTTAATGATGCTACTCAGTTACAGAAACATTAAGCTGCAGCTCTTATTTCATAGAGACAGTTAAATGTTTTAAGATACATAGGACAATCAGCTACATAGGTACATAGATACTTATGTTATACATGATTCTCGATTGTTTAAAACTACAATATTACATGTAAACGATCAGCCCCAGATCAGTGGTCAAAAGTCAAATGATTTGAGTACTTTGAATGCCATTGTTTCATAAATAAAGAATGAAATTAACATAAAAACAAATGAGCAGAGATAAGGTAACCTGTAGGGGTTAAAAGTAACAGCATTTCATAAAGATAACTTTTCTTTATTGATAACGAGAAACGCTTTCTGATAGGTTGAAAACCATAATTTTTGGTAAATAAAGATAATTCCAGTAATCAGTACCTTGACGAAGAGCTAGTAAAAGACAGTTTTTTACCCTCATTTCAGTACGGATTGACATGATATATATAACCATTAGGTTGTTATAGTCCGAGTATAACCAAGCGAGCCGTTGAGACTTAGTGTCTTAGGCAGAAAACAACCAGAGCCAACAGATGCTATTTCACCAATTTTATTCAGCTGATTGGATGTGAACACGAATTAACAAAATAAAATGAAACGTGGAGCTTCCTTTTTCAATAAGAAGTACTTACTGAATCGCATACCACTCATTACAACGGAAAGTATACTTGGACTCTGATTCTCATTAAGATCAACTCAGCCTGAATCTATTCAGGATAAGCATACAGCGAGCTCCACCTGTAGCCCTTCTAGGGTTACTGACGGTCCAAAACCAGGAAATAAAATGAATGTTGGGCATGGGGTCAGAAACCACATCCTGTAAAAAAACGTTGCTAAAAAACACTAACTAGAAAAAACAATTTAGACCATTCAAACTCTGCTCTCGAGAGTTGAAGGATCCTCATTAGAATTATAACGCCTCACGATCAAAGCTAAGATTCTTCAGAAACCACCTGACTGATGCCTCATCTAACAACTCGAGCAACAATTATTATAGGTACATGTTATGTCCGGACAATGTAGGAGACTGAAAAGACCAGTCAAATAGCTGAGGAAATAAGGAGATACAACTTGGCGGTTCTCGTTATAAGAAAAACCAATTGGAACTAAGTTGGAGGTGTTGTTGTACTCTAGTCAATAAGAAATGCTTCGAACGCACAACGAATTCCACTGATGCTATCCAAAGAAGTGCATAAACTACTTATAGAATGGGAATCTCATGGATCCATAATCATCAATGCATCCTTCAAAACAAAGGAAGGGATCACAACGAATGTTATTCAGTGCTAACCACCCACCAATTATAGCAACAATGACGATAAAGATTAGTTTTGTGGGAGGCTACAATCGATCGTAGAGAAGTGCCCAGGAGAGGACCTGACCATCCTGATGGGAGACCTAAACACTAAGTAATATTTATTTTATTTAAACCCATAAACATTGGTACAAGGAGGCACCAAATACATATGTGCCACACAAATTCGATTTGCGTGAGGGCTGGAATATTGCCTGGTCGCCCAAACTGAAGCAAAAAGGAACGAGAATAGTGAGAGATTTGCAAATTTATATACCTTAAACGAAATGGTTATAAATGGCACTATATTCCCCCACAAACGCATGCACAAAGCAACATTGGTATCACCGGATCATACTACAGAAAACCAAATAGGTCATATTTGCATCACTAAAAATTCAGGTCAGTGAATTCAAGATAGCTCTCAACAAAAGGTTCCAAGCCTTACAAGATCTGCTCAAAAAGAAAATACTATGGGGAACAACTGGAACGGAATCAAAGAACCATTAACTTCAAAGAGCCAGGACGTGTCTGGACACGAGAACCATCATCATAAGAAATGGATTTCTATCGAAACTCTGAACAGGGTTCAAGAAAGGACAGGAAAACAGCAACTACCAACAATCGAACAGCAGTAGAGAAAGCCAACGTGCAGGGTGAATACACAGAAGTAAATAAGCAAGTAAAGAGAAGTAGAGATGACAGGCAGAAATACGTGGAAGAGCTAGCAACGACGGCGGGAAAAACTACAAGAGAAGGGAATATGAGACAACTATGTGATACGACGAAGAAACTAGCAGAGAACATAGTAAAACAAATCCTCCAGTCCAGAACAAAGAAAGAAAGCTGATGACTGAGATTCAAGAGCAGCAAACAAGTGTGTAGAAAACTTTGAAGAACTCTTGAATAGACCAGTCCCATTGAACCCACCAGACAAATAAGCGCCTACAGACCTTCACATAGCTTTACTTCATCAACAATAGAAAAAATCAGCATGGCCATTAGACAAATCAAAAGTGAGAAGGCAGATGCAGGACCAGACAACGTACCAGATGAAGCACTGAAGTCAGACAGAAATGTAACTGCGAAGATGCTCCATGCACTATTCAGAGGGGTTTGAAGGGAAGAACAAGTTCCGACAGGCTGGAAAGGATACCTCATCAATATATCAAGGAAAGGATATCTCAGCGAGCGTGAAAACTACAAAGGCGTTACGCTAATATCAGTACCAAAACATGTTTTCAACAGTATCGTTGAACCAAATGGAAGATTTATTAGACGCCCAACTTCGAGATGAACAGGCTGGATTCCGTAAGGATCGATCATGAACCGACCAAATTGCGTCTGAAAGTGTGAATAGGAGAACCTTATGGAGCATTCCTACCTGAGATCATCAACATTATACGAAATTCTTATGAGAGACTACAATGCACAGTCGTGTATGGAAGCCAGATGAAATATCAACTCCAAGTGAAGACCCATGTCAGACAAGGCTAATCACTCTCGCTCTTTCTCTTTCTTCTGGTGGTCAACTAGATGAAGGTCTCCGCACTTCAGAGGAAGCACGGAATACAATGAACAGCGTGAATGCAACTAGACGATTTGGACTTCTCAGATGACCTATCTCTTTCATTCCATACACCAACATATACAGATAAATGTAGTCAGTGCAACAGCAGACTCTGAAGCAGTAGGCGTCAACATACATCGAAAGAGGAGCAAGATCATCAAGTACAACACGGAGAACACCAATCAGACCATACTTTATGAAGCTCTCGAAGAAGTGGAGACTTTCACGTACCTGGGCAGCATCATCGATAAACAAGGATGCTTTGATGAAAATATAAAGGCACAAATTGACAAACAAAAACCCAAGGATTCCCACAATTGAAGAATATATGGAACGCACAACAACTGTCAACCAATATCAAAGTCAGAATCTTCAATACGAACGTCAAGTCAGTTTACTGTACAGAGAGAAAACTTTAAGAACGAATACAACCATTATCAAAAATGTACAGGTATTGATAAACAATATTGCGTAGACAATATTGTCTACGCAAGATACTCAATGTCCGTTGACCGGATGCCATCAGCAACAGCCTACTGTGGGAGAGAACAAACCAACTCCAGACTGAGGAGGAGATTAGGGAAAGGTGTTGAAAGTGGATAGGATACACATTGAAGAAATCACTGAACTACATGGTGAGGTGAGCACCAAACTGAACTCCTGAAAGGAGAAGGAAAAGTGGAAAAACAAGGGACACATTGCGTCGGGAATTGGAGGCAAACATCAAAGGAATAAATAGCAACTGGAAACAACTAGGAAGGGTTGCCCAAGACAGAGCTATCATTATCATTTTTTTAACACACAGATATTGGTACAAGGAGGCACCAAATACATATGCGCCACACAAATCGTATTCGATATGTGTCAGGGCTGTGATACTGCCCGGGTGCCCGAACCGAAGCAGGTGCTTTTCTTAGGGGGCCACACCCCGAGCCTTCGACCTGAAGGTCTGATCCACGAGGCAGTGGAGCATCGTAAGGAAATGCAGTCCCATGGAAGCCGGTGAACAACAATTGGTTCATACGCCATTTGTTCCCGCAGGATACTGGAGCCCATGTGCACCATTGGTTTGGAATCCGGTTAAAGTGTCGGACATTCGCTTTTCGTCCTCTTAATTTTGTAAACAACACCCCCGCCACGAGAGGGCAGTGAGTAGAACTTCCCTGGCAGAGGCTATATACGCGTGGCCATGTGAGAGTATTTCGAGGGGGAGAGCGGACCCTCCCCACTCTCAGCCGTACCAGGGCATTTGGGGGTAGACTACTTGGGTGGGGTCCGTGCGACCATCGTAACCAACGGTTGGAAACTCTGGGTGACATGGCTCGGGATCGATCACAATGGTGTGGGTGTATACACTTGATGTCATGTGTTGGCTGGGCTGCCTCCCTTCATTTTCGACTAGGACCTCTATCTTATTACCTCTTTCAGGGATGTCTCTTTATGTCTTTCGGTTACAAATCCATTAAAATAAGTAACGTATCCATCGTAAGAATCTGGAATATTTTAAACGAGAAGTAGAAAAAATTACGACACCCCAAGCCCCCAACGTTGTGACAAGACTGATAAATGTTGGAAGTTTCATTTAAACGCTGGAGGTAATTTCGAGAAATCACATCGGAAAACCCAGAACAGACCTAGGTTTGAATTTTTTCGAAATTCACCCAGAGTTTCCCAGAATTGGTAGTGTGAGATATCACACACTTGACACGTGACATTGTCACGCAAAACTACTTAATTTATGGAAAAAGGACAGCCTTTCACTTGTCTTCCACAATATTTTATGCGAGACATAATCCCTCAAGAATTCAGCACTAAATTAACCTTGGAACTATACTGAAATGACAAACACAAAGAACCAGAAGAATTCGAGTAAAGAAGGATGACTACTATGGTAGTAACTCCAAGATAGAGCTGGTCGGAGAATGCAGGTGAGCGCCCTATGCTCCTCCACGAAGGGTAATAGGCTTAATTAATACAGTGCCTTTAGAATTTGATTCTTCAACAGGATTTAAATCCCAAACTTTTGATCCTGTTGAATTTACTCTCCCAGTGACCGATTATGTGGAGAAACTCAATATGCACTCATAAGTTGATCAGTGTGTAGCCTGCAAATATCTTACCAAAAACGGAGTGGAAAAGGTTGTACATTCATTTAGTTGTGGGACACCACTGAGGCAGCACGAGAATCTTAAACGAAGACTAAGTATGTAGACGCGTAGAGTGAACTTATGTGTGACGATAAAAAGCAATTTAGAAGCGTCAATTAATGAGCGAATAACAAGTTTTCTGCATAAATAAAAAAGCCAATCCAATAGTTATACAAATGACCTAGTCAGACCAGCTGGATACAAAAAGGCGACTATATATAGTCGCAACTATAGTAGCATTGCTTGATTAAAATCAAGCATAAGTCAATTGACTTAAATGGATTGCTTGCCTGTACAATGACAGCTGACGTAAATCACCAATGAGCTTAACATTATGTCCCAATTAACACCTACTTCCGGTCCCCTTGAAATAACTTAACATTAGATGTTAAGACAGTTTTCTTGGACAGTCTTGAGGCTTTATCATATATTTCCGAGGACTCCTAAATCTTCAAATGCTTACCGTTATTTCTATCATGAAAAAAAGGCACACTTTCACGTACATGTGAGAAATCTTTCACTGAGAGTTTCACGTGAATTTATATATAGAATAAAGTTTACGGTTGACATGACCACAATATATAGACGAACCAATCAGATTCAAGACATCGAGTCTTGGTATTTAGCGCGAGATCCAAATGGTTCAAATGTGGCACGTACTATTAGCGTTTACTTGCAGGCAGGAACGATCTGAAGCACAACACAACAGTCAGGACCGGTAAATGCCAATGAAGTAAGAACACGGCGTACTGGCACAACAGAGATATGTTTAAAAATTGAAAGACGCGGTCCGAGTACAAAAGGGAAGCTCATTACAAAGTGGGTTTATTCATTGTTCTGCAGGTTCAGCGTGCTTAAGGCTTGTTCCTCTTCTTTTAGTACGTTCACTTTTTGTTGCCCTGCAATAAGGAGAACAAACTCAGATTATTAACGTCATATGTAATGATTTTTAATACCGTTGTGGACGGAATAGAAGAAGCTTTCGCTTAACAGGCTTCTGTGTCTAGTAGCAGGGGATCACAACAACCTCCAGGCAGGAACCTAGGTATGTTAACGATAAAAGAGGAAAAAGAAATTGATAAATCATAGTATGATGCTATCCTCAGACATTATTAATAGATCAAGTTGCCTCTTAAAGGACTTGTAGCGGTAAATAAATCCGCAAAATAAATAGCCCTGTAAGTTTTCGACATTGGATGCTGACCATATGTTTTAGTGGACTCATCTAGCTGAAGGCGCTCGGTCAGGCATCCGCACCAGATCACGTGTGGTAACGCCGTGCTCAACATCAACCGCAATCGCTAGCCAGATTAGATCAGAGAATTCCGATATATTGGTCATCGCCAAATATACTCTTCCGATCTCCTCGACTCTGTCTTTTGATTTCTCTTGGTGGGAACGAATTATATTAGAAGGTGTTACTGGTAGAAGCGTTGTCAAACACTGAATACC